TAAGATAACTCTCAACAACAGATACCAAGCATTATAAGATCTACTCAAAGAAGAAGAGGAAACTACTATGGTGGACAGTTGGAAAGGGATCAAAGAAGCATTAACTCCAACGTGTCAGGAGGTTCTGGGCAGCGAGAAGCATCATCATAAGGAATGAGTCTCTATCAAAACCCTGAACAAGATTCAAGAAAGGAAGAATAAGAAGACAACAATTTACAACAGCCGAACAGGAACAGAGAAAGTCAAGGCATAAACCGAATACACTTAAGCAAACAAGCAAATGAAGAAGATCATTATAGCCGACAAACAGAAATACCTGAAAGATTTAGCAACGACAATGGAGAAAGCTGCAACACAAGCAGATATCAAACAGCTATGTGACACAACGAAGAAACTGGTAAGGAAATATAGTAAACCAGAGAGAACAGTCAGCGACAAAGAAGGCAGGCCAATCATCGAGATTCAGAAACAGAAGAACAGATGGGTGGAACACTTTGAGGAACTCCTGAATAGACCAACTACACTAAACTCACCGCACATCGAAGCTGCACACACAGACCTTCCTATAGATATCACCGCACCAACAATCGAATAAATCAGGATGGACATCAGATAAATCAAGGGCGGGAAAGCAGAGACCTGACAATATATCGACGGAAGCACTATAGTCAAACATATCAATAAATGCAAACATGCTCCATGTTCTACTGATGAAGATTTGGGAGGTGGAACACGTGCCGACGGACTGGAAACACACCTCACCGGGATACCAAAGAAACACGATCTGAGCAAACGTTTTCAACAGCGTTGCTGAACCGGATGGAAGGTTCGGTAGATGCCCAGTTTCGAGAGTAACAGGCAGGATTCCGTAAGGATCGGTTGTGCACAGTCCAAAAGGCGACATTACGGATCATCGTTGAACGATCACGTGAATGGAATTCGTCAAACTTTCTTGACTATGGTAAGGCGTTTGGCGGTATGAATAGGAAAACTTATAAAGGATTATGAACGTCATACAATATTCATAGGACGGACTGTTGTGAACAAGAACAGAGGTAGGGATAAGCAATTGCGTTTTATTACAAAAGTACAGAGCATATACGAACCATAAAGTGAATACTTCATTCGCAAATTTCCGTTATTCATTCTTCACATTTTGTATGATTCTTTAAGTTCACAATCCCATCCGTATCTTCTTAGCCTTCTGCTCCTACGTTATCCAATTCGGACTAGTTACATACTACTTATGTCTGTCAATATAAGTAGCATACAAAACAGACCACTCCGCAGTCGTGCACGAAGGACAACTGATATGCATTCTAATTGAGGATGGGTATCAGACAGGGGTGATTACTCTCGACATTTCTTTCTTTTAGTAGTTGAATGAGTTGAAAAAACCTCATGCAGGGGAAGCAATGAATACAGTGCACAGCTTGTATGCAACTACACGATACAGCACTGAAGGTGAGAATCAGTAAACCAAGAACAACATTCCTACAGTTGGAGACATTATAAAACCCATAACAACTGTTTGCAGGCCAACATCAAAATGAGAATCTTTAATACTAAAGTCAAGATAGTTCGACTGTACGGAGCGAAACTATGAAAACTAGCACAACCATCAAGAAGGTACAAGAATTTATAAACAATTCTTTACACAGAATGCGAAATAACCGTTGGCTGGATACCATCAGCAATAACCTACTGTGGGAGAGAACAAACCAGCTTCTAGATGAAAAGGAAATTAAAAGACAGTGGAGGCGTTAGGATATACATTGTGGGAATCACCAAACAGCATCTCAAAACAAGCATTAACTCACAAGTCAGTTACAACATAGGACCAGGCACATACATGCATCGGTCCACGTTTCCAAATTTCATTAGCACAACAAGATGAACACCAAATTTATGGAAGTACTTACTTCAATGGCAGTAATATATAAAAGATTGTGTACATGGATATAGTACAGGGAGAAAAAATTAGCTCGTATAAAGAAATATAAAGCAATTTTAAATTCACGGTCTAGGAGAAGACAAAGAGTGTAGACACAAACGTCATTGTAATCGATTCTCAGCCATGTCACCAAGTCTCCAACCATAGGTTAAAACAGTCACGCAGATCCCGACCAAGTAGTTTGCATCTACCAACATGGCTAAGACTTGACGTTAGTGACTTTGTGCGAGCAATATTTCTAAGACATCTGCGATCAAAAACTAGTAACTTACGAGTATCGTCTACTATTATTGGCCACGCTTCGCAGCCATAAAGTAAAACAGAATGAACTACTGCTCAGTATACTCGTCCCTTCATTGATAGATGGATATCTCGCCTTCGCCATAGGTGATACAAGTCGGCAAAAGTCAAACGAGCTTTTTTGAATTCGTTTAGAAATTTCGTCAGAAACCAACCCTTTAGGGCTGATCAGACTTCCAAGATGAGTGACGTTGTCGACACGTTCGAATACTTCACTCCCTATCCGTAATTCAGGTGTTGACGCAGGCCAGCCCTGAGACAACAACTTGCATTTAGATGGGAAGAAACGCACCCCAAACACCCTGGCATTGTTGATCAGTGCTATCAAAAGACTGAATGTTATCAGGGTCTTCACCTAACAAGACTATGTCATCTGCGTATTCTAATTCATAAGTGGACCTCCTGGAAGGAGATCAATGGCCGAGAGTTCAGTCGACGAGAATGTTATTTCCAGCAGTAGGTCTATGAAGAAGTTGAACAAAAACGGAGATAGTGGATGTTGAAGTGAAACGGAAAAGAGGAAGACCGAACGACACACGGCCTCCGGAAGGGGAAGAAGATATCAGGACAAATAGCAGCTGGAAAGGACTGTCTAGAACAGGGTCCGGTAGAGTATGTTGTTGGGGGGGGGGCTGACACTCCTTTACGAGGAATGTCAGGGGAAACTAAATAAGTAACATTATTTGCCTTTACAGTAAAAGTTGTTTTACGTCCAGGTTACAAGGGCGTACTCGGCGATTTAGCTGAATTAATTTTATTTCTGATCAAGCGCGATGTGATGGCTTTATTGATCATGTTATAATTATAGATTATATATATTCCGTCCAAAGACAGCAGAATAAACGTAGTATAGAACTAAACATCCGTTAACACTTTAAAAGCATTCACAATATAAATCCATTTTTTTCTGATAACTATAACCAGGTTTGAACTTGAACATGTATCCATTATCCACTAAAAAAATAAGTATTCCCATAAAACCAGATTCATAAAAAGAAGACAGATTTACGTATCTATTTCTTGCACAGTTGGAAATGACGTATTTTAATGATCGAACCAATTTGATTGGAGTATAGTTATTAGGGTAACAATTGACTAGTTAAGATAGAGCAAACACACACACAATCAACAGAGAAAACAAAACAAATCACGAAGTCTTGAATGGCAACAGAGTTGTTATCAGTTATCATGAAATCTTATGACCAAGTAAATTGTACAACCGAATTCGTTTGAACATCTGTTTAAGGATAGTCGATAATGTAGGTACACAGATACACACACACAAGAAAAAAACAATTACACCTAACTTAACAAAGTTTCGAAGTCATATTTATCATCAATTTTTCCGGCAATATAACACGATTTCAAACATGGGACAAATGGTGGAACATGAGTACTCGTGTATGTGCATAACTTATATATATATATATATATATATATGAAAATTAGGAACAAAAACTGACCAATTATTTTCAAATAGTTTATAATAAGTTCCACTACTATCATTGGTTGTTTATTATATGGGTTAATAAATAAATGAAATAGCAGTGGAATTAAGGCATTTTCGCATTCATATGAATATTTACTTACAACAAGAACAAAGTATAAACACGAGTCGCATAAATTGGCATTAGATCACATATTTTCTATTTATGACATTAGTTTTAGTGTAATGTTCAACAAATCACATAATTTCAAAATGCATAACATGACTATTTGAGTAAGTCTTCTAATGTTGAAATATGAATAGTTCAGCGGTTTTGCAGAAATAGGAATAATGAAAAAAAGAAAATGATATCAGCTGTCAGTTAGTGATAGTATTGATAGTGATGATAATAGTAATAATCTTTTTTAGCAAATAGTTGTTAAATCTTAAAAGTTTCCAAAACAGAACTGACTGCCTCTCTCTCGCTTGATAACACAATACACGGGACGGCATGCGCAGCAGTGGCTATATGTTCATAGATATACAAACGTGCGCAAACAAAAAACGATTTTTGTGAAAATGGAAGCACACAAAAAAACTAATGACAAGAGTATAGTTTACAATACAGTCCGCATGAAGTTGCTAGAAAGAATTTGAGCAACTAAAACGTACAATTGGACTGTTAAAAGGGTGGGGCGGTGCTTTGTAACGATGAAATATGCAAAGGGTATTTTCTTGTTTAGGATCAAAATGATTAACCTAAATGAGAATTATATATATATCGGTACAGATAAGGCCTAGGTTATGCCGATAGAAATGTCTACAAATACTGGAAATTTCGCAATGTTAAAACAATTAGAGGTCCAGGTTGTTGTACATGAAGGGAAAAATGAAGAGAAATGACAAAATTATTGACAAGAATAGTACAGTAGTTAGTAAAACCTATATATATGTATATATCAGGTTTTATATCTGATCTTGGTGCAATATATTTCAAATAAATTACGAGAGGGTAGATATGTTGGATTAGATAAAAGCGAAAAGTACATTGAAACATCTTTGTATGCATATATATATATATATATATATATATATATATATATATATATATATATATATATATATAAGAGAAAGTTTACGAGGCTGTTTGTTTTATATGATGTATAAAAACCAACCACATGTCGAGGGAAATAATGAATGTAAACTAAAAACAAAAAAGAAGACATAATTGGCAGATACACCACCATTACTACTTAGTGAATGTGTTCATCAAACTTTCAATTTACTGATATCAATATGATGATGATAATAATAATAATAGACATCATTAAATAAGATGAAAATCTTTTTCTAACAAGAACATCCAAATTACAAACGTCATTGTTTTGTTTTATGAGATAGTAGTGAATATGCTTTAAGATAAGAGTAATAAAATGAAAGCCTATAGGTGGTTCTCACAAAACAGGAGATAGAGATCAGATAAATTGGAATTTGAAAACTAAGCTTCTGTAAGTGTTTCTGTCGGTTCAGTATATTGATGAGTGATATTTTCACTCACTGTACGTTGTAATTCAGAATCCAAATTCCTTATATCTGATATATTATTCACATAGTCGGGGGTATTAGATATATCTTCGGTTGTAGAACTTGTAGCAGAACGTACTTCAAGTGAAGTTGAGAAATAATTAGATACATCTTCTACATCAAGTCCACTGTTATGTAATTCATTATCTATTTCTTTCTTTTGTTGTTGCAACGAATCAGTGTTACGTGGTGTACCATCATCATCAGTTTTTATAGTTGAGGTAGTTAATATTACATGATCATTATTAGTAAGTGAATCGGAAGTTGTCTCTTCTGTATTATTCATTGGTTGCGCTTGCTGTTGTTGTTGACGTTTTTTTGCTGCAGCTAAACCAGCCCAAACAGTATCTGGTCCAAGAGCTTGTGCTGCATAAGCTAGTATAGCAGCTTTACTAGGTGGTAGTCCAGCAGCTACTGCCATAGCTAAAGGGTCAGCATAATGAGAATGATCAGAAGATTCTACTGGCATTATATGAGGGGGATCCAAAAATTGATAAACAGATGATGTATTAGATGGATGTCCATAATAGTGCGAATGATGATGATGCTGACGATGATGATGGTGTAACGAATGCATCCGAGGATCCTCATCATCTCCGCTTTCATCCTCATCTTCACCTTCTTTGGTCTCATCATCATCATCCTCGTCGTCGTCATCATCTTCTTCGTCATAATCGTCATCGCTAGGAGCAGGACTGAGATCTGGTAGACTGTGTATGAAATTTCCAACATGAACAGGCTTGTAAAAGAAAGGGAAAAAACGGACACATCTAGTGACATGGATTTAGACAAAAGAATAATATATTCATGGAAATAAATGCATGGAATGACTGGTTTGCTGTCAAACAAAGATCTGAACAATCAAATAAATGGTGATTTCTTGTAGGAAGTATAGGAGTATATCTGAACTTTCTATATACTTTCGATTCAATGAAGTCATTGAAATTAATAGGTGTAAACATGGATTTAGGTAAATACTAAGTTTTTTCAAGTACAGTGAAACAAAAGTATTCGATCAATGGGACGAAATATTTTTATATATAAAAATGGTAGCAACTGATTATCATATTCCTTTTTTCAGTATATCTGAACGTATCTGAAAAATATACAACGATTACAGTTAGAACATTATCTTAACTGTGTAAAATTTAAAGAAAACAGTATGAATGTTATACTTTTAAGATCGACATTAAAACACTGAATCAAAAAATCATTCAGTGTGGCTTCTTTAAATCTATTTTGACTGTCTTACTGGGGGTAATGAATTATTCAAACGTTTCAATAAATAATACTAAAACAACTTACTAAGAGTTGTTTATCAGTCCCAAACTGTCTCATTAACAATATTTTACAATATGATTTCTTCGACTTCTGTAGATATAAGCTTTTAAGCAAGGAATACATGTGTAGAACAAACAGTCCAGTAATCAACAGAATATGTCCTGGTATTGGCATCCATTAGTGTAAGTGACCACATTTCATAACAGCGCGGAGAGAGGGGGTTTAACGAGATTAGGAGCGGTGTCAAGATAATGGTAATATCCATGATTGTAAAATATTAAACACAAAAATATGGGAACGAATGAAATTAGAAAGGATATGGAACGTGTGGAATAACAGATTTGGGACATAAACAACGAATCTAGCTACGCCAATTGGGACGAATCTTGATCCCGGTTTCGGTGGGACCTTACCTGAGAATTATGAACCTATCCCCATGTCTCAATGTAACTTCAAAATTGGTTCTACATTTCTGCTTAGTTTCTCGAACCTTCATCAAACCAGTGCCTACGATAGCCATTAATACGTGTCATAGTAGATGGCTAAACATGTAACACAGGTACCAGGTGCCTGAGATGAGGATGAACAACTTTATCAACTGGTACGTTTTTACAAGATACCCTTACATTTCACCTCAGGATTATTTACGTAGTGGTCCTATTATAATTGAGCAATGTTTCGAAGCCTCTTATGATTATACATGTATATCTCCTACTTTCATAAATCACTTTCAACAGCCCATTATACTAGGCATTTATTTACAGGCAGTTATTTAATTTGCGTCATAAGCTGTGAGAATTGGTAAATATGTAATTTTATTCTATTAACTTGGATAAAATGACCATTGTAGTCAATAGAACCTCCATGTGGATAATATCAAGGTTTAGGATTACAGATTAGGCGAACGAAATAAATCGGCATTCAATCAAAATGGTTGAATCCTGTTCAACGTTAAGTATAAACTAGAAATACATCAGCAGGGTAAAAAAACTTACATCTAAATTTATTGTGCCGTCCACATTGCTGACAACATCTAGTCGTTTTGAGCCCATGAGTTTTGAGGACCACGGTTGAAAGTGAGAATCTGGTACACACATACTACGATTCGGCACACTTTCCCCACCCACAACCATTTCGGAACCATAAGATAAGTGATATTCAGATGGGTTGACATTTCCACTGAAAGATAGTTCAGGTGGTATGTAATTGACAGAACGACTGTTTCTAGATTGTGGAGCAACGCAATGAACTGTCGGGTATTGCTTTTTTAAGTGTGGGTGTTGACTGTAACACAAGCCAGCAGTGTTTGCGGGATCTACAATATTTGGTTGATTGACATGTGGATGGTAATATGTACTAGGATTAGATAAAACGTCACCCATCAATGGATCTGGTATATTCACTCCAAATGGGATATGATTTGGTAGGCCTTCCTCAACTGATGGAGAATACGGTTGACCAGTTATCCAGGAATGTTGTAAACAATCCCACGCGGACGCTCTTTTATTAGGATCATACGCGAGCATTGGTTCCAGAAAACTGGTGAAAAGAGCCGCTTCGCTTGGTGGCCAATCATATTTCTCAGTGAGAACATTAAATAAATTCCAAGGTTTCAAGCGATGTATATGACGTAAACAAGCTGATGATTGGAATCAAAGGAAAGTTCATATTGTGATTTCAATTTTTATGTTAACCTTTGACAAGAACACAAAATAAAACTAAACAAACCTTTATTCTTTTGTCCAATTAGATAATGACCTCATGGTTTACTTAAAAGTACTGATTAATGTAACTTATCGACCAAGCAAAGAATAATGTACTCGGTTTTTAATCCCACTGTTTGTCTGTGGAGGTTAGTAATACTATGCGGTTGTTCAAACAGAAGTAGGTATTGTGACTTGATAACTGAAAACAAAGTGCTTTAAACACTAATCTATCGTCTTAATGGATAACTGAAACGGTAATGACTAAATAATAATTATGTGAACTTATTCATTTTTGTTAAGAACAGGTTGAATCTAAAGTGAGCAGTTAAAATAAATACATATTGATACTAAACTATTTTTAAGTTTGGCAAAGAGAATTCATTAACGTACCTCGTTTATCGAAATACTCACGGGAGTATTTCCCTGAAAGAGCAATATTTCTAGGTATGGGGCCTAATAATTCAATGATATGTGCTAGATGGTCCTCATCTCGTGAATAATCTTCGCCAGAATGAGGTTCGAAAAGATAATCACCGGTAGCCAATTCAAAAGCCTATAATAGAAAAAGGTAATTGAAGTATTATATATCAATATAGTCTATTGAGAAGTCAACTGTAATTAAACTGGGTGACAAAGTCAGTCAGTCAGTCAGTCAGTAACAACGTAGATCTTTGTACGTACATTGACAGAGAACAAAATTGAAATCAGTGTTAACATCAGATACGAGATATTTACTATCTGTGGCATGTATTGATATATATATATATATATATATATATATATATATATTTGATTGCAATATTTACGGATTGAGAGTTTTCGGTGCAAACTGGATGCACACATAATCAACTCTTGTAATGGCAAAGGCTTTCTGGAATATCTAAGGATCTTCTTTCTGCTTTGATGGATATTTGACTTACAGCAAAATTTTCACAAGATGGTTGACGCGAATCAATCAAGGATATAAACTATATTGAATTGTTAGTTTGATTAGTAGAACACGGATAGAATACATTAAGTTGATTATTTGATGAAAAAAGGATGGATTAGATTCGATAGCGAGAATTTGAAAGGCTTAAATAATGTTTGCTTATGGTGGCTGATACCACGCTGATCGTAATTATTGATTTTAGAGGATAAATTTAAAAAATGCAAAACTTTACAGTCCTAGCAATTTGTGAGATATATGCAATAGAAATTAGATGTATTACGAGATAATTCGCATATACTGAGCATGTAATCATTGAATTGAGTATGGCGGTCACTTTACGTTGTGACCTCACGGCAGAAATGTGACTTAATGTTATTAGTCGATGATGTAGTTGACGGTTCACTTGAATCATATGGATAACCTGAACTGAATAGAATTGGGAGAACCTGTGACGGTCCTTTCAATTATTTATATCTGTGATGCCTTAAAAACCTGCTGATACTCTAAAATAGACTTGAATCCCTGACCTAATAATGGGTTTTGGTAAGCCGTTATACATATATATATATATATATATATATATCAGCTGACCATTCCTGTTGCCAGAATATTGTTGTATACTATGATTTAATCCAGTCACGATGGACAGCCACGTGACGTTATGTTTCGCCTTGAAATAGTACGTCATCTTTAGAACAATAAATATAAGAAAAATAATTTTTGTCTTGAATCAGAAATGCATTTGTCTTTGATTACATTCTGTCTATACATTGGAATATGTGTAAAAAGATCATTCTCCCAAGTGATACTGCAAATCTTCTTCCCACAAGTTTACATAATATTTCAGTTTGATGATAACCAAGTAAATGTAATTGTGTTGTGGGTATAGTGATGATTTAGAGTATTTGAATAAATTGAAAACTGGTTGTTTGGTAAAATTTGGATTTAATTACAGAAGTTACACCCAAGTTCGTCATATTGCCACAAGTGTATCGAGTACTTTTGTACAGATTCAATGTACCGGTAATGAGCAGAAACGAGTACGTCTGAAATGCTATGTAACTTGTATAGTGAGTTATTAAAAAGAACTGATATAAATCTTTATTTAGACGAAACATAAAAAACACATACCATACAAGCCGTACTCCAAATATCAGCGGGTGGTCCATATTCGGAGCCAATGAGAACCTCCAAGGCTCGATACTGTCTAGTTTGAATATCCTCAGTAAAATGACGGTAAGTCCAGCATGCATTACCCAAATCGGCGATTTTCACTTCAATATCACACGGCTGCGGAATAAACAAAGCACAGTACAATGAATAAAGTCGAATAAATGACTCTAAAAGAACGAGTCGGCATTTCACCTGCGCAAGAGTAACAACAACCATAACCCAAGCTGACAACTATCAGATAATTGAATGTTGTGAACTATTATATTGAAACGCCTTCAACCCAATCTCCATAACCATATACTAATAATACAGTGTTTAAAACTTTTAGCCTCAATAATACTTCGACGTCCAACTAGAGCTCATGAAGAGAAAACCAGGCTGGTCTCAGACCTGAACGCGGATGCAGACCAAATACTTACTCTTTGCTAGGTTCTGGAACACAGACATACTTTCCGACATTTAACAGTAGTTGTATTCCTTGACCTTAAGGTGGTGATTGACTCCGTTGATCGTCAGGTTCTGTGGCAGTGTTTGTCATTCAACGGTGTATCAAATAAGTACATAAACCTTGGACAGGCTCACTCTACTCGAACACTACTGGTCGATTCAGAGCTTATGGAGAAATGTTATCGGAATTAGTTACTTAAATTGGTGTTCGTTGGGGTTGTTCGCTTTCCCCATTTCTATTTAACATCACAGATATGCTATTAGGTATAACACTCTATAGTCTGACTTTTCAAAGATTCATCTACCAAGAGATTCACCTGTTGACTTCGAATGCGCAGATGATATAGTTCTATTTGAAGACGATGACAAGATGCGGTTTGATCAACTTGAATAACAACGCAAGTACGTTTGATATGTGGTTCTCCCCCTCCAAATGTAAAATCTTACATTAGGATTGGCTTGCGTCATCGCCTGAATTAATGATAGGGACTGAAGTAATTGAACGTATCAGTACTGGTGGTCGGGTGTCTGACTAAATCTCGGCAGGGATTGAAAAGGTTCGATTGGCTTTTGGCAACTTGCATCATTTGTGGAATAGGTGAGATATGTTTTACAAATAAAGGGCGAGTTTGATGCGCAGCAGTTCGCTCTGTTCTGCGTTATGACTGCGAAACGTGGCCATTACACACAGAAGACAATTTTAGGTTACTAATATATCGATCATAGGTGTCTTCGGACCACTGAGTAAGTAATGTCTGTGTTAGGGATAGTATATTAAGTAAAGATGGGAAATCGATCGATGAGGTAGTAAATCTCTATCGACTGAGGTAGTCGGGACATGTGTCACGTATCCCCAACCACTCCATACCTCGACGGGCGATGTTTTCTGGTATAGGAGTAAGTTGGAAGAAAGCGAGGGGTGGTCAAACCAAAACGTGGCATCAGTTCATGAAATCATTGACAATTAGACTGAGCCATGTTAATAGGTATGGATTACCTGGTTAGGGTCAGTGTGATTATTGCAACCAGTGGTAAGAGGCTTTGAATGACATCGCTCGATTCATTTGAAATGGCACAGGTGTATCCATTTTCCTCTCAATTCTAAGTTTCGGAATCCTCGTAAAATTTTTGTCTTTATTTCACTAATTTATGATTCCTTTTCGAATAGTATCTCCGATTTCTAATCTTCTGTATTACCACTGATACTTTTACTTTCTTCACCATCCTGGAATTTGGCCTGGCAGTTCCATCCCTTTCTGCTAGTGGGGCATAACAACTTGAACCGATGCATAAACGTACTAGGTTCTACGTTGTGAGTACCTAACTGATGATTGTCTAACTTAGATCAGTTTATTTTAATGTAATAAAATTGTTTTGGGTCCTAGTATATTTTGAATTTTTTAAACAAACCTATTGTATCAAATTTCAAGTGCTAAAACAATCTATTTTGTTTAGAATTTTTTTCAAAACATCTGCTCTTTAAATGTGGTTATTCCAGTATTATAAATACTAAATCTTCAGTTACAACCAATTTCCTTGAGGAAGAAAGATTGCTAAGAAAATTCACCTCTTTACTGGCATCAGGTTCATGTATCACAGTTTCGAAAAGCAGTGATCGACGTTTGTTTGAAGCACTTTGACCAGAAACTGCATTGTTATTAGATGGTGTAACCAAACTTAACCGTTTGGAACTACCTTCACCAGTACTGTTTACTGTCAGACTTGATTTGGACTGCGAATTAAGTTTCCTTTCATTTCCTTCAGTTCCGTTTGACCTCGAGTTCGTGAAATTCGATTTGACCTGACCTTGATCATCTTTTGCTGAGGACTCCGGAGGAGAATGAGAAGTACTAGACATCACTGATGCTGCAGCTGCTGCCAAAAGCCCATCTGGTTGAATGATTACTGACCTACGATCACCAGTAGTTGACGTTTTCTGTGGTTCAGTCACAGGAGCCAGTGGAATATCAGCCTTATCATCGGCAGCACCAGAATGATCTGGAAGCTTTTTAACTCGACGACGAACAGCCACTCCACTTTCGTTGTCTTCTTGTATAAACTAAATGAAAACCAATTGGAAGATAATTATAAAAATGAAAATACCAAGTGTGACCAGTCACAATAATTCAGAAATATGTTACAATTGACTATCTTTTTCCCTCATCATAGTCTATCCCTGTCAACACTAACGCTAAAAATCTCCACAGCCTACACCTTCAATACTTATGGATCAAGTGGAAGCATTTTCTAAATACGATTTCTAACCGTATGTTGAAACATTCAATCAACAAATCATACGCCAAATAGAACAGAATGCCTGACTAATCTGAAGCACACTAAAGTTTTGTGAGCTCAAAATTTTTATTTATTTATTCGCTTGACTTTATTTAATTAGCACGTTTTTTGGACGTCTATGGATTAATGGTTAGATAAAAAACGTCTGAACTAGGTGCAGCATTAAACTAAAATCCCAGACTTCGTATTAATAAGTGGAGGATAAAAGCAAAGAAGTGGAAATAATAATGATTACTACTATTATTATAATGGGAAGCTAAAGGGATGACACTTCAAAGCTATCAGAATGTTAAAGAATATGTGCTTAAATCGAATATTTAAGGCAATATCATACAATATCCAGTTAAATATTTCACAGATCAAACAAAAATTCCGAAATTCACTATGCAACACAAATCAATAAATCAATGATTTCACAAAATAGAGCAATACCTCGATCTGAAAATAAGTTGTAAGTAATAGGTACTGCATTAAGAGCAGAGAAAGAAATCCAAGTTTTTTGACTACTCAATGGTTAAATGATTAGCTCTACGTTGTAAGTTGAATGAGTATATAAAATTATAGATTTACAACATAAGACAATTACTGTATTTGGTCCCCAGTTAATACTTTACTGTTTAAAGTCCATATCGTTTAGATTTTCTAAAAAGGAACTGGTATTTAGTTAAAGTGTTTTTTAGCTATTTTAACGTTTCGACCTCAGATGCAAGGACGCATTTTTCTTATAAACTGTAGCCGAATAATCGATTGTATGTAAATTAAAAGTACACAAAGATATCGACGGTTAGATGGATAGTTCAGAAGATAAAATATAGATTTGATCAGGAGACAACAAAAATGACTGATAGATCTTGTATAACTCTATATATAATTCTATGGGTGACTGTTGTGTGAGACTAGCTTTATTTGTCTAACCTGAGACGTGATCTTAGTTTCTCTCATATCTACCACGGGGATCAACACATTAGTCATTGATTTCTTAAATAGATATAAACTTGAATACACAAATTTGAAACCACTGAGGGCATTATAAATAAGTTATCATATTTGTAATATCCCAAATGAGTAGAAGAAAAATCCGATTTTCCGACGTTTCGTGACTCAGTGGTAAGCCACTTCTTCAGAGAATAAATAGATTACATTTAAGACATTAAGCATTGGCTTAACACAATTTTCGTTCAGTTTCAAAGCGAATGAAAAGATTTGAGTAGACGTGGTTGCCTTGTGGTGAATAATAATCATGACAAGCTACATGTATCCACGTATTACAACCATCTATGACAAGGATTGTAGTTTTAATTGTAAGATATGACCTGGTTTTAGGTCCATGAGTTAATTACGGAAATCCTATGACATGATTCAAAATTTGGCACACTGCTGTACTAATCAGTTGCAAATAAGATTGTGACATGACTTTTGATACCAGTTTAGTAGGAGAATGTTTGAAATATGACCGCTTATTAAAAATTAGAAAATTGGATATTCAGTGATTTAGTAACAGGCATTAACTGAGGCACTTTTGACATTTAGTGTGATTAGTTTTGATATATATTCAAAAATTGCATCACAAGCTACAGAGATGAATGTTTTGTTTATCTGATAGAGTGAAGATTATACCACAATTGATAAGGAATATTATAAGACTTACTTGATCACTTTCTTCCGACAAGTCAGTTGGACCCTTATTCTGTTTATGCTTAGTATGATCTTTTGACTCTTCTGTGTCATTTTTACACGGTGGCTTTGTAGAGACGTCGGGTGGCCCTAATCAAAGCAAAAAAAGTACAAAATTAGGATTTTAAAATAAAACATGGGAAGTTGATGTAATTATATGCAAAAAGAGACAAAGCATTAACTTTAAAATTTAACGAGTATTATTGTATAAAGGAAATATTAGAGAAAACCTCAATACAAACATATAACTAAATATTACTGGTTGCTGGGAAAACGATAAGGTTACAAAAACCCTAAAACACGACTGTATTGATAATCAACCAGAGACAGTTCGTTAGCTTTTAGTATGCTGACCGTAAGAGTTAACTAATATTTGGTTAGCGAAGAAATGTTCTGAACATCAAAACGACAGTCTGACCAATAATATCAGAGCTGTAATGCTTAGAACATAAAACGTCTCAAAAATGGGCAATGGATGGCACTGAAAATAACCATCATGAGAACGAAAGCTATCAATATGTAAGAATGATAGGCAACTAAAATCAGATGAATAACCTCACAACAGGAGTAATTTTGAAGAATAAAAGTTTTTTGAGTGTCGTGATTAACAAACTTGGATGAACTGTTGAGGATCAAAATGGACAATGTTTCGACAGATTAAAAATTTTTAAAAGAGTGAGGTATTCACTTTTCATAAACAAGTACAAAGCACCAAATTGAGTGGAAAAACTGAATAGTCTAATCCGCATGAGAAGCACTATATTGTGGAAATAATAGTGAGAATTAAATAGTATGGTGTGTAGTGTGACCGGTCGATACTTCTTGTGATCGAAGTTGTTAATCGTATTCATTTACACGTATTGCACATTAGTAACGTATTACAAATTTACCAACTGATGTTATCAGTGTTGATTAAATGAAGTTTCCGAATCTGTTAGGAGAAAACTCAAATTTTGACTAGGGATCAGTTAAAGTAGAGCAGTTGCATCTTCATCTTGCTAAATATTGAATATCGAATCACTTTGTTTTGAATTCCCTATTTGGATTTTCTTATTAACATTTAGTCCTCTGTAGTTTCTCAATAACTTCACTTTGATTTCCATTTTATCGTTATATTCTGTGTGTAGATAGTATTGAAATATGGACTAAAACACCTTATCGTCAAGTCCTTTGGTATTGTTGTGCGTGCTTAGAAAAACTGACCTAGGAGAACTGTTGAAGCGATATCACGAGTTGCATTCGCAGTTTACCAGGGTAACATAAAACAACTAATCGGAATCGGATCATCAACTGTGAAGCAAGCAGATGATGCATTGATGTACATGTGGAATAAAATACTCACTGAAGATAAATGGCCAGGATAACTTCCGGACTAGTCGATCAGCCAGAGGAGAGAAAGCAAGGTGGACAAATGAGCGATATGGCGGAGAACTGCAAACATCTGCATGGGAGACAGTTGAAGACTCAGATGGAGTGAAGTCGACAGAAATGGAAGCTGTACGCTTTTGTCCAGGTTGAAGTGGGCTAGGAATCTTAATTTTGGGGTCTCCATAACTGATGAAACCTGGGACATCATTCTGATTGCCTAACCATGAAAGATTTTGCTCGTCGTTTTGAGTGGACGATATCTTAGGAGGGTTATTAATGGGAGCTGTCTTGTCCTCCAAAATACTGCTGCAAGCCTTGAATGGGATGGAGGTTGCGTAGCCTAACATCGAGACAACAGCACGCGCAGTATCCATAAACACTGCACCAACTACCAGAACAGGCGAAAACAAAGAAAGAAAGGGTTTTTATGCTTTCTCTACGAACGGGAATAGGAAGCTTATCAGGAGAAAAAAAATCGATTTCTTGGAACACCTGAGGGCAGTCGCTACACGAACATTGCGACGAACAGATTTGGAAACACATATTGCTTATCATTATATCATGGAAGTAAATTGTTACAGAATAAGGGAGCTTCCTATCATCTCTAATGGGTTACATAGACGATCAAGTAGTATTCCTTACTTTAAGTCGTTGTTCTGTTAAAGCACCTGTTAGACTTATTTCTTTTAATGAACTTTTTAGTGATATAGCTGCAATCTTCATTCCCAATCTAAGCAAGCAAGTCTTGACGTTTCTGTTTTACGGTCACGACCTACAGATCTGTAAGAGACAATGAAGCTATGCACTAAAAATTTGAATATTACTATCCAATCAATTACCGGGGATTTATATTCCGTAATTAAATATCCACTTAACTAGATGACTAAGTGGTCTGTATTTTACTTGTGTGCTAGGCGGCTGCATTGTAGACATGATGATGGAGTCTTAGTAAGTGGTCTGATCAAGGGTTAAGCAATCTGAGTTATTGACAAGAAGTTTCGGTAATAGAGAAAATGTTCTTATTAAATATGCCTCAATATACCTGTTGAATCTTTTTATTACTAGTTCCTTTTAATGGGATTTTTGAGTTTTCCTATAACTGAAATAAGACGAGGTGTGAAGTGATTCGAATGTTATTTTGTAAAAGGCTGATAATAAGAATTTCGATCTTGTTTGAACACTTGATTTTGGGAATGTTAGTTCTGTCATGGGACTTGAGTTTACGTGATTTCGTTGGTTTATGTGGAATTAAAGGAGGTCGAAAACTGATTTTTTTTTACCTCGCGTTGCATATTTCAGCACCATATGAGTGCCAGCTACTTTATGAAAATGAACGTATTTTTGCGAACAAGTTTTAAGTACAGTTGATCCAGTAAAATGGGCAATAGGTGGGCATCATAAAGAATAAATTATTTGCACGTAATGCATGTACACTAAATTGTCGACTAAAGAAATAACAAAAACCACCAATAACGGTAAAACAGTTGGAAAACTGATTACACATCCAAACTAACAATAGATAACAAGAATTTTCGAAGTTTAAATGCTCAAACTACTGATGAGGTGAAATCGTCAAATAGTTTAGATGAATGGTCTAAACCAGTTAACGAAATATCAGAGATCTTTGGTGTAAGGTGAACCACGATGGCTGTTCTTAGACCGGATTATATTGCTGGATTCGATTGGATATGCAAACCATTAAGTTTGATTGCAAAATAATACTTCAGCTGGATAGGACAGAACGAATATTGGGACTTAGATATTACAGCATTACTAACTGTCAGATATCGTCGAGGCAAGGAAAAACTGAACAGTTAAGTCATAGGACTGATTTGTGAGAAGAGCCACTTGTCAGGAGATATAAATTTAATTATTCAACTTATTTTTAACGTGACAGCCTCCGAAAAATTGAAAGTAAATTTATGATACCAGCAGTTTAACCAATTTTAAGATGACTCAAAAGTTGGGATAGATTATTAACAATCTATATGATGACTGATACATCACAAAATATACAAAAACCTATGAGCACAATAGTTTTAACGTAGACATTTCAAACATTACTTTTCATTGAAAAAATTATATACAGACAAACAAATAAGACATCAATGAGATCGTTTACTGCCAGATTAATTAATTAAACTGTGATGGCTAACAATTAGCTCTTAAATATGAATTTTGTCGTTGTCATAAAGCTAAAAGTAAACAGTCGATCAATAGTTAGAACCGATCCTAGACTTGAAGATAAATAGATGAATCCGGACTAAACTTCGTGAAATTTCCGATGACTAATACTTGGGTTCTACTTTAGAACAACACAGTACTAAAATCTAAAACGAACCCGACTTAAACAGTACATTGGTGTAAAGGAACATTGTGTTAGGTATAGGTTGTTAAGTTTTACATCAGGAAATTGAGTGAAAAATAAAACAAACAAATGAGTTAACTTGCTAACAGCAATTAGTAATTAAAATGAAGTAGTCGCAACTAAAAGTTTCCTCCATCAGTGCTCACTTCAATGACCAGTTGTTTCCAAAATTAAATTTGATGGTATCTATCGATTTAAAAACCAGGACATTAGTCTTACTTCAGTTCGGTCCACCTATTGTTATTTCCACTGTTTTTACTGGTGGAGACATTGATCTCAGTTACACAAGAGACCCTTAATCTTCAATTATTTAAAAAATAAATTTATGGTTATTAAACACATGTAAATCAGCTTTCAAACTGGTCTACTACGTAACACCTGATTTACACCATACATAGAAGGAACCAACTGAAAGCTTAAAATGATACACTAAGAATCTATTAAGACGGCCATAGAGTAAATCACTATCATGAAGTTTTTACAAATCTAAAATCTAGCCATAAGTAATTTCTTCGACAATTATGAAACGACTGAAACTTAGTTGTCTTTTACAGATAGAATGAATAAAACAGTAACTTACCAGTGTTATTTGTAGTAGGATGACAATCTTTGCTTGGACTGGCATTGTATGAGTCTGCTGTTGGGGGAGTAGTATTAGCCTCATTCGAGTATGACTGTTCTGGGGATACTTCTGAGTCCCTTTTAGGCTTTTCATCTACTTGTTCTGGCTTTTCATGGTTCTGTTCATTGTCAGCAGGAATCAGTCCCATATCCAACAAACGACGTTCATGCTCCTGTGATTCCAATTCCTCTAATTCATCAAGTTCCTGTTCTAAAAGTGCTTGTTGTTTTCGTTGTTGCTTTTTTAGACGGCGCTTGCGACTTTTTGTCATCTTCGTGTTATCTTGTTTTTCTTTGGGTGCAGTGCTCACTGTATAAGAAAATGGATAGGAGTCCAACAGTATTTGAAGAGCATATGTTAAAACATACTAAGGGTGTTTATTATCCTATCTATAAAATTTATGAACTTGATTAATATAATTCGATCAGCACTAAAAAAATTGACGTACATGGCATTGGTTATAACTCAATCATCAATCAATTCATGGATTTGTTTAATTTATTAAGTAGATTCATGTACTCGACTTGTTACACTTTATCTGTGATGAATAATGATACTATTCGGGTGCCCAGACTGAAGTGAACAGAGAACGTTCGAACCTGAGATCTAGTGCGGAAACTTGGATGTCTTAACCACCTAATTGCTCCACATTATAATTGAGAAACTTGGGTAGGAGACTAAAAAGGATGTGCAAAACCCTACATAGATTTTGCTGATGTTTAGCAGTGACTTACCAATGAATAAGTCCGATGTAACTAAAAAATTATTTATTTATTTATTTGAACACATAAATATTGGTACAAGAGGGCACCAAATACATATGCACCACACAAAACAATGAGGATTTGAAGAGTAGGGGAAAAGGTAGGGAACGTAAAAAAGAAAAAGAACAATAACGTACAGATTAGTGTAAGGAAGTGTAATAATAATAATAATAATAATAATTGGGGAAAAGAAAAGGTGCAATCAGAAATCTTTCAGTTAAGAAAGAAGCAACCATTTTTATGAAGAAAGTAAAAGAATGTTACAGCAGGATCGCCATTGGCTTCTATTATGAGCCATATCTGATAACGTTTCTAGCCCACTGTGTCGCACCATCTCTCAGACCCCAACCAGGGAGTCGTGAAGGACCAATAGAAGCCAGTCCTTTGCAGCTTTCTTTCATGCCACGACACGATGATCGAACAGCTTGAACAGTTGTAGGTGTCAATAAATGAGTTACTCATTATGTCAGCATTTAAATATTCAGCGAAATGCGCAAATTTTTGGAACGATTAGAATAGTCATAAGTTAGGACAGCAAGTCAGTCAGTCAGTAACAACGTAGAACTTCGTACGTACGTACATCAGTTCGAGTTGCCACACCACATTAGCACAGAGATGCACTTGTCGATTCAAATCCCGCAGTGGTAGAGGTAATAAGAGTATAAGCAGTAATCGGGAAGATTAGGGTTTGGAGATGTTATTTAAAGAGTATAATCCAGTGAAATAAATTTGGAAAGAGGAAAAAAGGGACATGAAGAATTCAGAAGATTAGAATTTGGGAGAACACAAAGAGTGGATGCACCTGCGCCATTGCAAACGATTTTGAGCCAAGTCATTCAGGGTCTCTAACCATCGGTTGCTGTCATCTCGCGGTCCCCAACCAGGTAGTCTACACCTACCAACATGACTCAGTTCACTTGTCAGTGACTTCATGGACTTGTGCCATGTTTTGGTTTGGCCGCCCCTAGCTTTCTTCCAAGGACAGCAAGAGTATAACTAAAACGAAATTAACTCGTGACTTGAAAGTTTACGCTATAATGAATTAAAATTACAACGCAAGAGTTCTACAGTGCCACAGAGAAAATCAGTAAGTGAACACAAACTTGAGAACCCTGGATAAAATCACCCCTAAGATCTACTTAAGTGACCGGTTTTCAATAAAGTGTGAACAGTGTATAAGTTCATTTGAGGAATAGTTAGCAAACAGTACTTTAGGGTTGTGAGGATAACCATATCATCCATGGAGCCTAGTACAAGTATGAGTTAGATGCAATACCAAGTTGACACCACGAGACCAAGTTAAAAAAAGGAAAAGTCAATATAATGACAATGAGAAAGACAAGACAATGGATGATGCTACTCGGAGATGAATTCAAGGAACGATAAATAATGAATTCACTTGCACTACTGTTATCAACTTTGAATCATAAAACTGAGTTATTCACTGAGGACTTAGTCTACATCTCAATGACATTTACTAAATAAATGGTTTACGGTGTTTGTATAAAATCCTAATTTTAAACTATTTGGCTCACTAACTATTACATCTCGTATCATTCATAAATTGGTGAATTAACTATAAAGCAGTTACTTAGATTTATGCTAACCATACTTCAGTTATATGTATATTGAAATCTATTGGTTATGGTGACTTATCGTCTCATACTTTACGTATACAATCACGTCAGTCAGTCAGTCAGCTACAACGTAGGACCAGACAAATATGTGCATCGGTCCAGGTTGCCATACCGCATCAGCACAATACAATCACGTGACTTTTGAGGTATCAGTAATATAAAATACAAGCGACCATCCCGGAGTTATGGTTAGTAGATTGGGGACGGATAAGTATTGTGTGAGTTAATGATTGTTAAACATACACAATATCTACGTTAATGGACTCATTGTTAGTGATTATAAGCAACAAACAATAACGGCTTAAACAAAATGTTTAATAATTAATGCTATCACAGTCTAGTGAATCTGTGAGAAAATAAAACTTAATTATGCGAATCATGAAAAACTAGAATATCTTTATGAAACATTTGGTAGTTAGTGTATACTACAAAATGACCTATCTTAAGATTCAATTCTCCCCATTTCAATATGTTACGGTCTAGTAATTAAATACAGGCTTGTGTATATGGCTTTGAAACGATTATATCAATCGCGTATTTGAATATACATAATTAAAACATGAACTAGATGTGTTACCGATAGTGAAAAGTTAGGTATTGAAACTTATGAATCGCAGTATTACAACCCCGTTAAGAGCTGTAGTTTAATCCACCAGAAGATTTAGGATACTACTGAATATGATAAATTGACTCGCTAGATTATTCCGTACATATATACAGTTAAGCTCCATTTTCTAATCCATTAATAAATTGTTACTAGCAAATCTCACCTGCGGAACCTGACAACTGTACACCTCGTCTTTGAGCATCAAGGGCCTCCGCTGCCATTCTACGGATTTGAGAATCAGAAATACAAACTAAAATGTTTTCCGGTTTGATATCTGTATGAATAATGTGACACTTTGTGTGCAAGTAATGAAGTCCTTGAAGGGTCTAAAGACAAGATAATCATTTATTAAACAAAGTATTAGTTACTTTATTATTAAAGGCCTAAAACAATATATATTTTTTCGACCATAAAAGAATAATACGTTTTAATGGGCTAACAGTTTAGATAACGACGACACTGAGAATCCCACGATGATTAGGCTTTAGTGACTTTACATATCATGTCAGTCAGCTACAACGTAGGACCAGGCACATATATGCATCGGTCCAGATTGTCATACCTCATTAGCACAGCAAGATGAACATCGGATTCATAGCAGTGATTAGGTCAAAGGTGCTAATATATAGGAGAAAGATTGCATATAAGGATACAGTACAGGAAGAAAGAATCAGTTAGTAGAAAGAAAGATATGAAGTGATTTTAATCTCTTAGTTTAAGGGAAGATAGGGAGTGTATGCACCGACGCCATTGTGATCGATTCTGAGCCATGTCACCAAGAGTCTCCAACCATTGGTTACGATAGTCACGCGGACCCCAACCAAGTAGTCTGCATCTACCAACATGGCTCAGACTAGAGGTTAGTGTCTTCAAGCACTGATGCCACGTTTTGGTTTGGCCACCCCTAACGTTCTTCCAACCATCTCTAACACCGGTTAGCATTGCACGTCGTGGTAATCGGTGTTCAGTCATACGTAACACGTGGCCCAACCATCTCAGTCGATGAAGATTAACAACCTCACCAACTGACTTACCATCATTACCTAATACCCTAAGTCCAACCTCACTATTACTACCGAGTCAAATGCTGCTTTTAAGTCAAGAAAGACCACCATTGTCGGACGTCGATAAGTATGCCTGTGTTCTAGAACCTGACGAATGGTGAATATGTGGTCGATGCAGCCACGACCAGGTCTGAAGCCAGCTTGGTTCTCTCGTGTTTGCAGTTCACGAGTCTTAGTTAGGCGTCTGATAATTATCGAGGCTAGTATTGTAGATACTATATTACTTAAAATACTCCCTCTGTGGTTGTCACAAGATGACTTTGACCTTCTCTTATATATTGGGACGATAAGTGATTGCCACCAGTCAGATGGAATAACGTCTAACTCCCAGATCTTAGCTAAAATATTAGTCAACCTAATCGCTAAAATTGGACCACCATCCTTAAAGACCTCTGGAGCCAATCCATCTGGACCAGCTGCCCTTCCTCGTTTCAGATTAACTATAGCCTTTTGAACTTCTGCTAGAGTTGGGGGACCTACTTCAATGTTCCATTCACACTGTTTGGGGATGGAGGGTAGTTGTAGAGTCGCTGAAGGCCAGCTGAACTGTTCCCTAAAGTGTTCCGCCCATCGTTTTAAACGTCTGGACTGGGAGTAGATGAGAGTATCGTCTTTTTACGAAATAATCTCATTTGCACTTGACTTATTAGTTCCAGTTTCTTTTATTAGTCTATAAAGCTGTCTTGTGTTCCCTATAGTTGCCGCCTTTTCCATCTCTTTTGCTTTCGTTGCCCACCACTGCTCACGGTCGTTTCTTAGACTTTTGCTTAACCTAGATCTGATTTGTTTTCGCTCTTTATCTTGTTCAGAGCCCGATTGGATGAGTTTACAAGAATCCATCAGTGCACTACACTTGAAAGAAATCCATTGGTTCTTTGTAACTATTTGGTTTAAATCACTAATAGATGTCACTGCTGTTTCCGCAGCTGTTTGTATATCTTTCCAAGCAACAGCCTCGTTTTCAGAACTACGTAAATGTGACCTCAGTTGTTCATGGAATCTACTTTTAGTTTTCTCGTTACTCAACTCAGTTTTAATTGGTCTTTTTAATGTGGCTTCTTTGCGTCCATTGAGGCGCAAGCAGATGCGTGCCCGTATTAGGGCGCGAACGGAGTCCAAGCAGGTACTCCAGAGTGAGCGACAATCTTCTACCGACCCTCTCCAACGATGACTGATGGCAATATGGTCTATTTGAGTCCATCGTTGGTTTGGTGTAGGAGGTCGCCATGTTAGACGATGTCTTTCCTTATGCTTAAAATTTGTGTTTGCTAAAAATAAACGATTGTCTGAGCATAGTTGCAGCAGACGACCACCATTATCTGTTCGTTGTGCCGGTATACTAAAATACCCACCCAAATATCTTTCTGTTTGGTTTAAACTACCTATCTGGGCATTAAAGTCACCTGCTACGAGTACTATGTCTGAACGTTTAGCTTTCTGAAGAAGTTCAGATAGCTTTCTGTAAAATTCATCTTTCATTTCATCTGAGCTGCAGTCGGTGGGAGCGTAGGCAGAAACGACGAAAATGCAACGACGTGTGTCCCTATCTTTCTGAGTTCTTACTGAGCCGTTTAGCCGAACAGCACATAGACGACTGTTGACGGGGATTCACTCTAACAGTGCTTGTTCCGCCCTCATGCTTAGTGCTATCCCTACTCCTGCCAGTCCACGAGAGCTGGCCATCGAGTCACCAGATACACGTAGGGTGTATCTCGTTGGCTCTCCGTTTTGCCGAGGTGAGGTCAAGTGAATGACCACACTGGGATCCTGTATGCGTGTTTCGGAAACACAGCATACATCAATGGTACGAGATTCTAGGGTTTTAGCCAAGGAAGCCTGCTGACCGATTTGACATAGGGTGCGTACATTGAAGGCTCCAATGTGTAGTGTGGAGTGAGGTTTCAGTAGACCTGGAAGTGTTTTGAGCACTAGAATCGTTGGCTATAGTGACACTTGAGGGGGGAGCCGAAAAAAGAAGTTTGGAGTTTTAAGTTGATGTAGGAGGAATAACAGGAATTGAAGAGGGAGGTTGATCATGAATACAGTGGTCTTGAGTGCTGTTAGAGGTATAAGGGCGGTTATCACTTCCCGGTTGTCCACACCGTGGAAGGGTTTTTCTGGAGGTACCTGAAAAGGAAATTGGTTTAGAGGTAGTCTTAGTGACCTGGGAGCGTGACTGCAGTGGCCAAGGGACAACTGTTTGAGGTAGGTCACAACAGACCTTTTTAGTGAGTAGTTTTTGTGTTAGCTTCGTACATGTTGAGACCCTACCGCCGGAGACGGATATTCGTGGGAGGTGTATGTTTTTAGGGTCGACCTTTTCTAACCCCCCCTCCTTGTGGGAAGGCAGCATCGCTGTCATGCTGGTTGTCTGAAGGAAACGCCTTACTGCCGTCACACCTCTGTACAGTCGGCAGTACGACTTCGCATTCGGACCTTGGGTTTGTTGCTTTTAGTCTTACCGCTCTTCAACCGACCTTTCTGACGTGGTAGGACCTTGAGGAACAGTTGTTCCAGTCAGTATAGCTCGGTTGCTTCATCACGATAGGCAAGCCCGACCACCACGTCAAGGTAGCAACAACGGTCGGGACACATCATGACCAAACATAAAATACCGTGCGTTATTTGCCAATATCAAAAATGGTTGGAAAAAGCTGGGTTGTTCACTGTATGATATGGTGTTGGGGTCCATGGTGTTCGGTCCATCACGACTCTCTGGTTGGGGTCCGATAGACAATGCAACTTAGTGACTTGAGATTATCAGACAGCTTAGGACAGGAGCAAGTGGCGGCCTTGCTATAACTAGGACTTTGTATTGTATTTTTCCTAAATGAACTGTTTCCCTATGATACATCGTCGTTTGCTTATTTTTACTCATTTGTTTCACGATCATATTCACTCTCACGTCACAATTTCATTTATTTGTGTGGCGCATATTTATTTTTATTTGTACCAATATTTGTGTTCAGATGAATAAACACAAGTTCCACAAATGTTCCTAAACCTCACCTAATACTGCCTTTTGAGAGCAATTATCATATAACTGCATACATTAATGAAAGATGAAAATTCACATGACGAACTGCTTGACTCGCTCAGTACAGCTTACATGGTATTGATACTTCGGGAGCGAGGACTGTTTCTGCAATCTCCTAACTTAGGATCATAAACTTAGTGATTGTCACAAGCTACAGGGAAGCACAAACGCTTCGTAAGCTTACGCTTAGTGGCCTTTTACTGATGCTGCGAGTAGGGCTTATTTCACGTCCTGCATCAATGATCCAATTGTTTTACAAAATACTGAGAATTATTAAAACCAGTTTCAGTACACCTGGTCCTCAAAAAATGAACGCTGAAAACAACAAATGTCTACTTTCTATCAAGGATTATCTATGAGGAAAATTCCGAATATCACTCAGATTTAGTCTCTTGATGATCATACGCTTAGCTTATCAAACGTGCCGAAGTACTCTGACTTCTCAAATAAATAAGTCTCATGGTTCAAGTAACCAGCAGTTAATTCACGCATCTTTCTAATCAGTTATTTAATACAGCCACTACGTTGCTCTAGCGTTACCATGGTTAATATTTCTTAATGAAATCTGTGAATTTCCAAGAAAGTCATTTGCAAAATAATACTTGCTATACTGACAATCCAGTTAACCGGTTGTGTAACTTTCTGGGATGCTTGAAATGAAGTGCTTGTATTGACTAGTTACTTATATATGTAACGGCATAGCCTGAGCTAATTTCGCTTGAGCATCAATAATAGAAAAACACATTAAAAACAAAACCGTGAAAACGACACAGACGGCAACCTAGAAGCCACGAACATTAGGGAGAAATAAGATAATCTATACTTACTTGTTTAATAATAGAACGAACATTTTCGAGTGGAATGCCTCGGTACTGAGATCTGATTATTAGCTTCAACAAATTATGGCCAAGAACCTCAAAGATCATACAAACATCTAAGTAATGGTTAAGAAATCCATAGCATGAAGACCTCATATAAGAAAAACAAAACATAAGAGCTTAAGCATAGTGGTTGTTAGCATGTACTTAGAAATAATTATTACACGATAATCCCTATATGCTGATACAAAGTAGCTTGAATTTAACTTCCTATCGACAAGTGGCAATTAAAATACAAACCAAATGCATGGACTACTGAGAACCCAGGATTGTGAAGTGTTGGAATTTATCAGTGCGCTTCATTGTGAAATCTGTGCATAAGATTTATATAATTGGCAAAATGAATGGAGATCTTATGGCAAGTGGTTTGCCAACGCGAGATGGAGGCACATATTGCAGAAGGTATGCGATGAGCCAGATATTCTCAAAAACTGCCAAGACCTTACTGCTGATTGGTACCATGGTGATTTTACGTACAGCATCCCATACATTGGCAGATTGTAACGAGTCACTGGATGGACCCAGTTTCAACATCTAAGGGTATGACCGTGTATGGTTAGGGTGTCTCCCTACACATAATAAAGATGGTGAAAATGTATGCCGTTATTAGGAAACCCGATGTGTACGAGTAAATGAGCAATAAGATAAAAGGATACGGTTCCCATTTACACCAGACACTCTGAAATCATCTAGCAACTGAACTGTTTTTTTCCGGAACGGGTCATCTGGGGCAGATTCGCGGACCTAACCAAATTATCTTTTTACCGTAAACTTACGCATGATAGCAGCTTTATTTCATCAAGAGCTGTTTCTGTGTAGTGCGGAGCACTCTTGACTACTTTCATTGCAACGAAACGCTTTGAACTATAGATGTTAGTACAATGTAATATTGAGCTAACCATAAATCCCAGCATAACCACACAGTGGAAAAGTGACCCCAACCAAGCTTACGGACGACGTGGTAACGTGAATTGTATACCTGCCCGATCTTAACTGGATGATATCCACCTAGATTGTATTAACTTAATTAAACAGAGTACCAACCTATACAGTAATCCCGAGGGTCTTCTTGCTCATCGTCATCACTGCCGAGAATTTCTTCCTCCTCTAAAACTTCCTCATCTCGTGAGTACTCACAATATGTTGGCTCCTGTTCATTTTTAGGCGTGGAGTCGTCCTGTGGTTGAAGTCGGTCTTCTACGGCACCATTACTACAAAAGAAAACGCATTAAACACAGTAGAATAAGTCATCTGATACTATGTATCTTGTATTATTAACAAAATGCGGGTTTTTTATTCAGGACATGTTATCGTAGTTCCACGACGTTCCAAAATGCCGATAGTAAAACCACCCAGTAAAATCGCAAAAACAGGGACAAAACTTACCATTTGTTTCCAATAGATTTGTCTTTCGGGGCATTTTTCTTAATTTGTTTGTTTTTCTTCTTGCTCTGTAGGGCGACGACTAAAAGAAAGATCAGGTAGAATGTGAGTACATGTACACGAAGTCTTAAAAATATATTTATACATAAAAACACTTCACATGATCTCTTAAACCCTCACCTTTTCTGGGAATTTTGCTCATAATAACAAGGTATCCAAACAACCCCAAGGAATTCAACCCAGCCTAACTACTGAGGAAAGTGTGAATTTAAACAACACGCACGTTGGTTTAAACCAAAAATAAGTTCGAAACAGGTTATGTTGATTATGGAGTGACTTTAACCAAAGACTTATGTCCTATAGTCTGGAGATTATCTAAACAGTTGATATTGTTATGTCTTATGAAGAAGTCAGCTTAAATCAGTCATCAGTATATTGTTGGCTTAAACAGTTAAGTATGATCTTCAACCAACATTGCAATGTAAAGAAACTCGGTGAATTTTTGGCAGACTTTGCACTTTGTCTTGAGGTCATATTTGACACTGTTTCTTATACTTCTAGCGAAATTTCGTAACTTGAAGCACTAGGAGTTATTAGTGTGTATCTGTGGCAAGTGGCGTAAATATCCTCCATGAAAACTTACACAGAGTCAAGTCACCTTTTTCAAACTTTTAGTTTTGACGGCTTATTGTCACCCTCTGCCTAATATTTCATCTCAGTCTAACATGAAGATACCACAGGTATTCAGAGTTAGACAATCAATTAACACACAACATCTTTGTAATCGAAGGATACCTACCCAGTTAAATTAGGAGTCAGAAATAGAGGGGTTCAAACATCTATTTGACAAGATATCTATATATCAAGGAGCGCTTGGTCTAAGCTGACTAACGGTTGCAATGGATGTGTAGCACGAGGTACCCACTCGTGATCTGGTGCGGATGGGTGACCGAACACCTGCAGCAAAGGTTTGTCCAGAAAAACTAATGAAGTCAGCATCAATGTCGAAGACTAACAGAACTATTTACTTTGGTGATTTATTCACCACTACAGCCCACGCCGCCCTTAATGGAGTAGTGGTGACCGTAAGTTGTAGCCAGTCAAAAGTTTAAATCCAACGAACTTGCCGTTGTTAAACACTTTTATGATAGCTCGCTATGTTTAGCAGCATCTGGTCGTCTTTTCTCAATGTGGTTCAAAACAGAAATGAAAAACGTATTCTTCGTCGGTTTTCAATCTTTTCCAACTTTCCTGAGGAAGAAGAAAATTAGATGCATGTTGAAATGAACTCGCACATGAGTAAGGATACAAAACGTGTGAATAAAGAAACAATGTTTGTTTTATTGTTATATCAATAAGAACAAACGAGATAAAACAAAATGTCATTCCGTATCCCACCTTCAGTAATGGTTTAAGTATTCCCGAAACTTCCCCCCTCTCCAAGAGCACGCTGTTGTGAGCCGGTTTACGGATAGCGATGAAGTTTGGTCATGATTGTTGGTTATTAGGGAAGGCATAGTAATTGTGAGGTTCGTGTTATTTGATTATATACGATTGAAAGCATTATTGAGGTTCCCTCCTGAGTACGCGGCTTTAAGGTAGTCAATGCTTACGTTATTGTTGTTTTCGTTTTATTGATTATATAGCATTTACGTTTGCGACGAAGAACTCTGAATGTTTCTTCGTATGCCGTTTCGAGGGGTCGTCGTAATGAAATACGACGTACAAAAAACGAGTATACTGTATTGGGAAGCAGGTTGAATGAAAACACCAGATGATGTAAGTCAATTTATATCAGGTTTCACTGAACTCGTGGAGTTTGTAAGCCAGTTTGCGTGAGAATTTAGACCCATAGTGTTACGGGAGAACTGAAGATATTTGACTGAATAAAACATTTATGTTAAATATTCTTAATTTCACTGTGTTTCTGGATGTATTTGTTTTACTCGACTTCTGAACTTGTTTGTTTATACCGTTATTTTCGGATATTTTGGTTTGTCTTTGGTTTAGTATTTGGGAACGTTTGCTCCGGGAACCTACAAAATTGAAGGTTTGTTTCTATAATTGTTATAATTATTGTTAGAACGACATGTGGGTGGACTATTTGTAAATTGCGAATAAACTTCTTTACCCAAATTGGAGTTTGGTTCTATTGTTAATTTAGGTTCGTAAATCGCAAGTAGATCGATATACCGTACTTCAATAACGGGACGAGCAAAACTTGGACGTAACACCATAGTCATTGAATAAGATGAAGGATCCACAAATTCTCTGAAAGTCGGAGTGTCGTGCAACAAACGAGTTCAGCCGTAGTGTTTGCTTTTATAGCATAGCAAACATCACGTTACATCAGTGGAAGGGAGTCAGTCCACTATGAAAAGCCTCTTACTGTCGGTAAAATCGTTCTGTCAACTCGTTAGCTTGTGTGTTGTAGGCAGTCTCTCGGAATCACATGACTCCTAGTGGTGCAGTAAGACAACGGAAACGTTCAGATTGAAACTGGCGTCCACAGTCTCCAGTGACAGCTCAGAGGCAGCCGAAGTTTTCAACCCATCGTTCGATGAAGGCGAGGGTAAATGTTTCGACAATAATATCATTGATGGCTAATGCTTCCGGCCATCGTGTGAAACGGCCCTAATACGTTAGGGGATAAAAGTGCCCAGTTAATTCTGGCAACTTACGCCTGTTACCCATCGTAGAGGATCATGGGCCGCCCATTAACATTCACCATCCAACTCTGTCCTGAGAAATCCCTTTCAGTTGTTTCTAATCACTATTCATCCTTCTCATGTCTGCCTCGAATTCCCGACTGAATGTGTTCTGTGGTCTTCCTCTTTTCCGTTTTCCTTCAGGATTCCAAGTTAGCACTTACTGTGTGATGCAGTTTGATGGTTTCCATAATGTATGCTACATCCACCTCCAGTGAATTTCCCTAATTTCCTCATCAACTGGAACCTAGTTTGTTCTCTCCCACAGTAGGCTGTTACTGATGGTATCCAACCAACGGACACTGAGTATCTTGAGTAGACAATCGCTTATAAATATCCGTACATTTTTGATGAAGGTTGCGCCAGCTTCGTACCGTAGAACTACCTTGACGTTCGTATTGAAGATTCCCAATTTGATATTGGCTTTGAGATAGTTGTTTTGAATTCCATATGCTGTTCAACTGTATGAATTCTGTCCTTATTTTGCCAATCATTACATTTACATCTGCATCATATTCTCCCTGTTCATCTATGATGCTTTCCAGGTATGTGAAATTTTTTACGTCTTCCAGAGTTTTGCCATTAGGTCAGTGTTCTACGTGTTGTATTTCAGAATCTTATCTTTTCCTTTGTATATACTGAAGCTTCTTGATGCAGAGGCCGCTTCTACACTAGTTGTCTTCATCTGCATTTGTTCGTGTGTATAGGAAAGAAGAGACGGGTTATCTGCGAAGTTTAAATCTTGTTTGTTTGCTTTTACTGATATGTATGATTTTAGTGCTTTGGTTGGTGTATTGTCAGGTCTCTGCTTTCCCGCCCTTGATTTGTCTGATGTCCATCCTGATTTATTTGATTGTTGGTGCGGTGATATCTATAGGAAGGTCTGTGTGTGCAGCTTCGATGTGCGGTGAGTTTAGTGTAGTTGGTCTATTCAGGAGTTCCTCAAAGTGTTCCACCCATCTGTTCTTCTGTTTCTGAATCTCGATGATTGGCCTGCCTTCTTTGTCGCTGACTGTTCTCTCTGGTTTACTATATTTCCTTACCAGTTTCTTCGTTGTGTCACATAGCTGTTTGATATCTGCTTGTGTTGCAGCTTTCTCCATTGTCGTTGCTAAATCTTTCAGGTATTTCTGTTTGTCGGCTATAATGATCTTCTTCATTTGCTTGTTTGCTTTAGTGTATTCGGTTTATGCCTTGACTTTCTGTGGTGTTTGAAAGAACTAATAATACCTTTGTACTTGTTGAATGCTCGATTTCGAATTCCAAATACAATACATTCGTTTGTGCTTGTGTCTCACTTCTTAATTCAATTGCGTTAATTCTGGGATTCCTAGTTCATAATAAAATTCAAATTATTCAAAATATTATACTTTCTCTGTTCCTGTTCGGCTGTTGTAAATTGTTGTCTTCTTATTCTTCCTTTCTTGAATCTTGTTCAGGGTTTTGATAGAGACTCATTCCTTATGATGATGCTTCTCGCTGCCCAGAACCTCCTGACACGTTGGAGTTAATGCTTCTTTGATCCCTTTCCAACTGTCCACCATAGTAGTTTCCTCTTCTTCTTTGAGTAGATCTTATAATGCTTGGTATCTGTTGTTGAGAGTTATTTTAAGTTGATTGAGTTTATCAGTATCTGGAAGGAAGTCTGTATTGAATGCTGTTTGTCTAGTTTTCTAGTGCTTATTTCGCTTCAGTTTCATCTTGGCAACCACCAGTTGGTGGTTGTCTAATGCTATGTCAGCTCCTACTCTGGTTCTCACGTGTTCCGTTGACTTGAATTATTTAGTGGTGCAAATCTGATCGATTTGGTTCTCCTTGGTGTGATCCAGTGATACCCATGTGGCTTTATGTATGAGTTTGTGTGGGAATATCGTGCCGTCTATAATCATTTTGTTGAATGAACGAAAATCTTCAAATCTCTTGTTACTCTCTTTCCTTTTATTCTATATCGTCCCATGATATCTTTGTAGAATGATGGTCTACTATAATATTAGTACTGCTCTAATAATAGACCTAATCCTAAAATTGTAGATCTTACGTGGAAGTCACACCATCGACTACACCAACTCACTGCATCGCATCAGTTACCAATACATGATGTAGAACAAGGTTATGCTAGAGAAAGAACAATATATTTAATATGAATGGAAGAGGGACTACGCCTGCATGGCTGAGCCATGCTTTACGATCAATTCCAATTCATTCAATACTTCTTCCCGCCTTCTCCATTGTTAGCTATTTCTCCGCGTTAAATACTGAATATCTATTTTCCGAGCAGTCTCGTGTTCAGATTTAAGGACTGTGTGCCACTACATCTTCATATCCGGTGTTGATCATTCCGACTTTGGGGTTTAGATCTTCTATCAGGATGGTGAGGTCCTTTCCTATGATTGACTGAAGCCTCCTGTAAGATCAGTCTCTGTCGTCGTCATGGCTTTCATTTTTCCCGACCGTTGTCGCTATTTGACGTGATGATCGGGCTTGCCTATCGTGA